TCCTGCTTCTCAGAGTACCATTCCTGCCTCTCCTGCCCCTCAGAGCAGCTGCCCACCCTCCCCTCGATGCCAGCCCAGCTCTGTGGTGCTGAGCAGCGTTTCATAAGCACTCAGAGCTGGAGGCAGAGCCCTCTGCAATGCAGGGCTGCAGCTCCTGCCCCAGCACCCTCAGTGCCTCCATGCCAGGGTCTCGCCCCACAATGAGCTGTTCCACGAGGTACAAACGTGCTTTGTCTGCCTCTGCTGCAGGAACCATCCCCACAGGACACCAGGCCTGCCCCAAGGGGCTCCTTTGTCACCACGGGGCCACCACCAGTGCCTTGTACCAGAACATCCAGAGCACAAAGGGATCAGCAGCTCATCCTCTGAACACCCAGTTCTGCTCCAGGTGATGCAATGACCTTGTTCTGCAGCTCCACAGAAACGCTGCCCCTGTCTCCTCCCTGAGCACCACATCTGGGTGGGCTCCTGGTCCTGCCCCTTCCATGGGGTCACTGATTGATGCTGGCAGGGGGTTATTTACAGACATGAACAAGATGGGGCTGCTGTGGAACACCTGTCCTTGTGAGCAGCACCAGGTCCTGCCCAGCTGTGCTGCCAGGGGCTGCTCTGGGCAGGGGCACAGGGAAGGGGAGTTTGGGAGCAGAGTTGGCATTTCTGGGGGCAGAATTGCCATTTTTGGGGGCAGAGTTTCCATCTCTGGTGCCTCTCTCGCTGTGCCTGCCAGGATTTGTCCCTGAGGATATCCAGCAAGGAAGGACACACAGATGGGCAGGGAAGGTCTCACCGAGGGAAGAGGCTGCACAGGGATTGCACCAAGGTTGCCATGAGAGACAAGCAGATGGAAAGGACAAGGCTGGAATAAAAGGAGGGAGATGATGATGGAATCCTGGAATGGTTGGGCTGGAAGGGACCTTTACAATCACGTCATTCCACCTCATACCATGGCACCACTTCCCCAGGGTGCTCCAACCTGGCCAGGGACACTTCAGGGATGGCGCTGCCTATGGTGTGCCTGGAGACCTTGCATTTCCTGCCTTCCTTATTAAAATTTAAACAGTTCAGCTCAGTTTGTGCTCCCTGGAAGAGGCAGGAGCAGGATTTGGATCACCCCAAAGCAAGGATGGAGGTGGTGGGTGCTGGCCTGGGCTGGGGGCTCTGCTCCTGCTGTTCCCCGGTGTGCCCTGGCCAAAAGGGATGAACTGGGAGTGTGAGGAGCAGAAAAGCCCTCACACAGAAATGTCAGTCACTTGGAAGTGTGTGAGGGGAAGGAAAGCTTCCTCTGACTGTGAAATGTTCCATCCAGAGCTGGCACTCACAGTATGGAGTGGGACAGAAATAGCTGAACTATTTCTATGTACAAGCATGGCAGAGATGATCCAGGATTGGCTCATGTTTCCATGCTCAATTCAGAGCACTTTGGGATGAGGAGTGAACGTGGGATTGAATACTAATGATCATTTCCTTTTTAATTAACAGAGGTCCTACTCCAGGATGCTACAACTGAGCCTGCAGCCCACCCACAGGGCTCTGGCTGCTGGGCTTGGCACCTGAGCTGCTCCTGAGCTCCTCCTGCACCTGAGCACCTGAGCTGCTCCTCACTGAGATGCTCCTGTATCCCTGAGCACCTGAGCTGCTCCTCACTGAGATCCTCCTGTATCCCTGAGCACCTGAGCTGCTCCTGAGCTCCTCCTGCACATCCTGCACCTGCCCAGCCCCAGATCTGGCTCTGCCTGACCTGTCACTGTCCCAGCTGCTGAGAGCAGCACACAGGGCACAGCTGGCACAGCCTTGGCACAGGGCACAGCTGGCACAGCCCTGGCACGGGACAGTGCTGCTGGAATGCTGCTGCTTCCAGCCCTGCACTGCTGCAATGCATCAGCAGCCCAGAGCACAGTTTTCCCCTAAGGGATATTTTGTTCTTAGATAATGAGCAGCAAATCCTCCACAGCTCCGGGAAAGGAGTTTTTTAAATGGCTGTGGTGGAAGTGTTGGTGCTTTTTGGTTTGGGTTTTTGTTTGTTTGTTTGTTTTTGAGCCCTGGCAGTTTATCCACACCAGCAGCTGTTCCTGCAGGTAGAACTGCCCTTGGCTGTAAATGCAGGTAGAACTGCCCATGGCTGCTCCCTCAGCATTGTCCCTGAGCCAGAGATGTTTGCCTGGATGGGACAATTCCATGGATAACCTCCAGTACCATGTGGTGAGAGCAGCTGCATTCCCAACATCTGCACTGCCCTGAACGCCAGGGAACGTGGCCAGGCTGCCCTTGGCATTTCAGGGGAGTCAGGAATATCCATGGAACACCACACAAAGCATCCTGGGCTCTGAGTGATCATTTTTAATCACGGGCCCTCCTGGCTGAGCAGTGAAGCACATCCCTGCTTCAATTTCCAGGAAGCAGTGGGAGGCTTGGATGACCTCACTCCTCATTAATTTCTACAACATCCTCTCAAAAAGTGTCCCCCTCCTCCTGCCAAGGCCTCTGCAGCGAGGGACAGCAGGAGCTGGGATGCTGGGAATTCAATTAAGAGAACACAAACCCCTGGAGCTGCCATTTCTCCAGGGAATTTATTGCCATCAAACAATCTGACCAGAGCTGTGCCAGTCTGCCCTGCTGATGGGGGCTCCTGCTGCTCCCTGTGTCCCTTGCTCTCAGGATGAGCCTGAGCCTGATCCTTGGCCAGCTCCTGGAGCAGGCTGGAGCTGTCCCTCTGTCCTTCCTGTCCCTCTGTCCCCCACCCAGCCTGGCCTGGGGCAGGACCCAAGCATTGCTGATGCTGCCAGGAGAGCACCAATTCCACACATTTTCACAGCTCTCCAGAGGGAAGAGGGAATGCTGGGGCTGCCCTCCACCAGGAGAAGGATTTCATGGCCCGGCCCTGCCCTGCCCTGAGCAGGGGCTGCCCTGGCCCTGCAGCAGCTGCATCCATTGCTCTGGAATTCCCTGAACCTGCCCAGGGATTCCTGAACCTGCCCAGGGATTCCTGAACCTGCTCCTGCTCTGGAATTCCCTGCTCCTGCTTCTGCCCAGGGATTCCCTGCAGCCAAGCCCTGCTAATTTTAGCCTTGGCTGGGGGATTCCAGCACCAGGCACAGCAGCAGCAGCCACACATCAGCTCTGCCCAGCTCTGCCCCAGCTCCCAGGGCACAGGGATGTGCTGAAGTGCACTGAGGAGCTCTGAATCAGCCTCTGGCAGGGGCCTGGCTGATGAATCAGTGCAGACACAGCCAGCCCTGATCAGTCAGCAAAGATCAATCATTGATGAGCATCCTGAGGTGACACCCCCAGCACCAGGCATGCCCTGACACATCCACCATCTGCTGCCCACCCCCGTGGGACCCTGCCAGCATCCAGAGCCTCACAGAGCCTGCAGATCCTGTGGGACAAGGCTGGGGGCTCCCCCACCTTCCCTCCATGCAGCAGAGTGGGGTTTGTGACATTTGTCACAGTCCCAGAATCCCAGAAGGATTGGGGTTGGGCACAGGATCCTCACAAATAAACCCCAGCATCTCCTCTCCACAGGATCCTCACAAACAAACCCCAGCCAGCCCCACAGCAGCTCCATTTGGAGCCTCCCTCCCAAACCCTTCTGCCCAGAGATGCTTTGAATGTCCCTGGAGAAGAGAGATTCCCAAATCCCCCTCACCTCCTGTGGCTGAGCGGGCTCAGAGAGGCTGACAGGACTCTGAGGAAGGTTCCCCTGCTCCAGCAGGGCTGTGCCTGCCC